AGAGAGAGAGAGAGAGAGAGAGAGAGACAGAGCACAAGCTGGGGAGGGGCAGAGAGAGAGAGGGAGACACAGAATCTGAAGCAGGCTCCAGGCTCTGAGCTGTGAGCACAGAGCCCAACAGGGAGCTTGAACTCACGAACCGCAAGATCATGACTTGAGCCAAAGTCAGACGCTTAACTGAGCCACCCAGGTGCCCCAAAGGCCATGTACATTTTAAGGCTTTGATAAGTACTAAAGGTCTTCTTCATACACACTCTGGAATTCGGAGCCCCTCAAAGCTCAACACAGAACCTTTTTCATGGCGAGGCTTGACCTTTCTCTCAAATCCATTTGCAGGGATAATGCCAACCGCCTCATACGTAGTCTTTGCCGGACGCCAGGCTCTAAGAGCCTTCTCTTCTGACGTACTACTTTCAGCCTCCTTTTCCGAAGAAGACATTGAGGGGGCACCTGGGTAGTGCAGTCGGCTAAGCAGCTGACTCTTGATCTTGGCTCAGGTCATGATCTTTTGGTTTGGGAGTTCGAGCCCTGACTGGGGCTCTGCGCTGACAGCGTGGAGCCTGCTCGGGATTCTCTTTCTTTCTTTCTCTCTGCCCCTACCTCGCTTGTGCTCTCTCTCTCTTTCTAAAATAAATAAACATTTAAAAAAAAAAAAGATATTGAGACACAGGGGAAGCAATTCAACTGGGATCACAGCCCTAATAAGCAGCACATCTGTAGTCATGAGCCTGAACAACATGGTTCCAGAATCTACGCTGTCCGCTGCTTTTTGGAAAGTGCCTTTGATTTCATCTCCACAGATAGTTCTTCCTTCATCCCTTTGACCTTCTCTGCCATGGCCTGGCCTACATCAAGTGCCACCACCCCAGCCTGGTGATAAAGTCCCTCATGGTCTTGCATTTCTACTCTGTCCTTTTCAGTCTGTTGTCTGCTCTGCAGCTGGAATGCTGTTTTTTCTTCTTCTTCTCATTTATTTTTTTTAGAGAGAGAGACAGCAAGCAGGGAAGGGGCAGAGAGAGAGCGGGAGACACAGAATCGGAAACAGGCTCCAGGCTCTGAGCTGTCAGCACAGAGCCCGATGTGGGGCTCGAACTCACAGACCGTGAGATCATGACCTGAGCTGTAGTCGGCCGCCCACCGACTGAGCCAGCCAGGCGCCCCTTATTTTTAAAAATATTTGATTTTTAAGCAACTTTTACACCCAACATGGAGCCCGAATCCACAACCCAGAGATCGACCTTCTACTGACCGAGCCAGCCAGGCACCCCTGCAACAGTGATTTTAAAATGGAAACTGGAAAAAAAATAACAAAATAAAATGGAAATAGGATGAACCCCCTCCCCCATCCCTCCAAACAAAATCCAGATTAGCTCCCCAGGGCCTGCGGCTTTCCCTCTGGCTTATCCTGAGCCATTTTCCTGCTCCAGCTCCACCCACTACACTCAGCCACCTCCTTTCACTTCCTGAATCTGGCAGAGGCTTTTCTCACCTTGGGGCTTTGTACTCATTGTTCCCATGGCCCCGGAGTGTTCTTCCTCCCCGCTGCGCGGCTGGTTTCTGGTCCTTCAGACTCAGCTTTCATACCACCTCTTTGAAGAAACCTTCCCCCGGTGGTTTCCTAGGGAGCCTGTCCCCTAAACCCATTTTCCTTTCTGTCCTTTATAGCGTGCAGTGAAATGGTAGGTTTAGTCATTGCCCACTACTCATTAGTCAGCTTTTTCCCTCCTAACACTCTAAATGCCCTGAGGTCAAAGCCACGCCTCTTTCATTCATCATTTCCCCAGTGCCCAGCTCCGGGGCACGCGCAGTGAGGGCTCAATAACTTAACTGTAGGGGCGCCTGGGTGGCTCAGTCAGTTAAGCCCCCCACTTCGGTTCAGGTCATGATCTCGTGATTCGTGAGTTCGGGCCCCACATCAGGCTCTCTGCTGTCAGTGCAGGGCCGGCTTCAGATCCTCTGTCCTCCTCCCTCTCTGCACCTCCCCCACCTGCGCTCTCTCTCTCTCAAAAATGAAATAAACATTAAATGACTTAGTAACTGTAGAATGGATGAATGGTCCACAGGGGAAGGCATTATCCTTGGTAAATTCTCCCGGCTTCGGCCAGGACTGTTCCACCCCCCTTCTGCATACCTTTGTTTCCTCTTCCCTACGCGGAGCAGTGACAGAAGGGAGAACAGTAGGAAGCTATGGACAAGAGAGTGTAAGCAGGTTTTGCTTCAGGTCTCAACTCAGGGCAGATGGTGTCATGTGAGGCGCACAAGGGAGACTTGGTTCCCCCAAGCCCCGTGCGTGGTTCTCGGATTGCCACGAGAGACTCCTGATGCGAGGAATCCCCGGGCCAGATGCAAACACTTACCATGTAGTTAACAACACGCACCCGGCAGGTGAACTGATGGACGAGTATTGTCTTTAAGCAGCAGCATAGTGGTGAGCTGTAAGCTCTAGTGTCACCACTGGGGGACCTTGGGTGAGAGTCACTTCTTGCTTCCCGTCTGCAAAGTGAGTGGTTAGGATGGAGAAATGGTTCTTAAACTTTTTCTTCCCCTCAGCAGCTCCACTCAGCTTATTCAAGCGATCAATATGGGAAAAGCCAGGTGTTTCTGGTTGAAATGGGGAAGCGGGGCTGGAACTGTCCTCCTTCCTGGCTCCCCCTTTTAAGTCCCCAAGGGTGGAGAGATGGCCGACCTTTGGACTCTAAGATCTCAGCGGTCATTGCCTGCCAGGCTGGTTGTCTGTGTTCTAAGAACAAAGATGGCAGCAAGACTTGCATGGTTGCAGCTACCTGGCACATTAAATGATCAGCAAAGGGGGCGTCTTGGGGTGCATGAGTGGCTCAGTCGGTCAGGTGTCCGACTTCAGCTCGGGTCATGATCTCACGGTTCGAGTTCAAGCCCCACATTGGGCTCACTGCTGTCAGCACAGAATCCCCTTCGGATCCTCTGTCCCTCTGTCTCTGCTCTCTGCCTCTCCCTTGCTGGTGCATGCTCTCTCAAAAATAAATAAACATAAAAAAAAAAAAAAAAGAAAAGAAAGGGGGCACCTGGCTGGCTCAGGAGGAGGCGCACACGACTCTTGATCTCGGGTTGTGAGTTTGAACCTCACATTGGGTGTAGAGATTACTTAAAACAAAACAAAACAAAAACAAAAAACTTAAAAAAAAAAAATGATCAGAAGGGGACCAGAGAGGATGTGCAGAGATTTTAGACTGTGTAGCAGGTGAACATCCTAGCAGCCAAAGGACAGGGGAGGCAGCCCCTTTGTGTGTGGAGGAGGCTTTGGCCACTTTAGGAAAGAAATGGGGGCCCGGGAGAGAAGCAGCCCAGAGGCTCACTTACCCCCTCCACAATCTAGAAAAAGGAAATTGCCACCCCTCCCTTCCCAGGTCTTGGATCCCAGGTCTTGAAGAGACCGCCCACAATCTTGCAGACGCTTGGCTTCCAGGGTTGACTGTTTGCCACGCCCTGGGGGAACTCTGGTCCCCCACCTCCCCACTCCGCCACCCAGGCGGCTCCGTGGCCTTTGCCGCGGGCAGGTGTGCTCAGGAGGCTGCAGCCCGGGCCCCCTGGCAGCTCCAGGTGCTGTGTGTGCTGCCATGGAGACGGGCCCGGGGGTTGGCGGCTGGTGGAGGGAAGGCCGTCTCCCGAAGCTTTGTGGATTCAGGAGAGGGAGAGACCGGAGCCTCAGGTCCTTCAGGTAGTCTGCCCGACCTAGTGCCAAGGAAGCCCAGGTGGGTGCCCTGGGGTTTCCCCGGACAGAGGGAGGGAGGAGGAGCCAGGAGAGACCAAGTATTGGGAGGAGGCTCTGGAAGGGCTGATCTGGGGACCTGGGTGTCTCTAAGCTTCCAGGTCAAGGGGAAAAGCCTTGCCAGGGCCCCCCTTGCCGGGCCAGTGCAGTGCCCTGCGCAGACTGGGCAAATGGGCTCTGGAGGGTTGGCCCGATAGCCCAGTGGGAGGAGGGAAAGAGGGCCTGGCATTTGTCCCCAGAGGGACAGACCGGGGGATTCACAAAGGCCATCTCTGCACGCATGAGTCAGGGATTTGAGGCCGCAGGGAAGGAAGTATTTGCCCTGTAACACAAACCACTGACTGGTTCCCCTCCCTCTTCCTGGAGTCTGAGGAGCCAAGGGTGATCACACGGAACACAAGGCGTACTTTATCCGTGTCCAGAGCCAGGGTGCAGTCTCCTCCAGGGGCAGCTTGTTAACAGTGGGGTGGCTCAGGCCTTTGCCCTGAACTGGGTGGTCTGGAACAAATTGCTGAGTTTTTCATCTGTGAAATGTGGGTGACAGTATCTTTCAACAGCACACAGACTCCTTGCCTAGGGCCAGGCACAAGGATGGGGCTCAATGGGTGTCCCTTTGCTCCTTTGCCCTTTCTGCCAGGACGTTCCTACTAGGCCTCGCGGTGTCCGATCTGAGGATGGCCGAGCAGCAGGGCCGGGAGCCTGAGTGCCCTGTCTGCTGGAACCCCTTCAACAACACGTTCCACACCCCCAAAGTGCTGGACTGTTGTCACTCCTTCTGCGTGGAATGCCTGGCCCACCTCAGCCTGGTGACTCCAGCCCGGCGCCGGTTGCTCTGCCCCCTCTGTCGCCAGCCCACGGTGCTGGCCTCTGGGCAGCCTGTCACGGACTTGCCCACGGATACTGCCGTGCTCACCCTGCTTCGCCTGGAGCCCCACCATGTCATCCTGGAAGGCCACCAGCTCTGTCTCAAGGACCAGCCTAAGAGCCGCTACTTCCTGCGCCAGCCCCGGGTTTACACACTGGACCTAGGCCCTGAGCCCGGGGGCCAAACTGGGCCCCCCCAGGACGCAGGCCCTTCCCCCAGGTCTCTGCCCATTCCCGTCCCCAGCCACTACTCTCTGAGGGAGTGTTTCCGCAACCCTCAGTTCCGGATCTTTGCTTACCTGATGGCGGTCATCCTCAGCGTCACCCTGTTGCTCATCTTCTCCGTCTTTTGGACTAAGCAGTTCCTTTGGGGTGTGGGATGAGCGTTGCTTCTGGACAAGGAACCAAGTCTTTCCTGACTGCTGCTGGGGATGGGGACCGCAGAGCCTCATTTGGGGTTGTCTTCCTTTGTAGTATTGTTCCTTTTTGCAACCCGGAGATCAGTAAGGCCAGGTGTTTGCTTCTGGGAACAGTCCTACAATGGGAATATTTGAAACCGAAAAGGCTGGGAAAAGGTGTGAAGAGACCCCTGGGTGTGAGCCATGGGCCAAGAAGGGCAGAGAAGCAGACCCGGCACAAAGAGCTACGTGGCAAGTTGTGCTCAAGGGCTGGACGATGGTATCCGGGAGCTCGACCGGCCCAGAAAGGTGCATTTCTCACTGGAGTTGCTCCCAACTCGGTTCACATTTGTTTGAGTTATATCTTGCTACAATTTTGGAAAGTGAGCCTCAATTCTGTGAGCAAAGGCATGTGCCTTCTTTCAGTTTTCTCTTTAGAAGTCTTGCCACCTGCAGTCACGAACTCATGCACTGACTCATTCAACAACCACTTGGTCGATGTGGTGTCAGAACTAGGGGAAGGGAAGGACAGGATATCCATGGGTCACAGAGAGCCTCTACCAGCAAGGACGGCATGTTTCCTCAGCTGCTTGTACAGGACAACCTCTTGTCGGTGTGTGGCTTCTGGAGTGTTGAGAGTAAAGGTGATCAAAAGAAATCTGCGATTTGGAGAAAAGGTTTTTATTCCTCCGGGTAGGTGCAGAGGCCCTAATTAAGCCTGGATGCTGGACAGAGCTGACTCCCCTGCTCCAGGCAGTTGACCTCAAGAGGTAGGGCAGAAGCCCTGGAGAGAGGGCTCCATCCCAGGCCATGCAGACAGAGACGCTAGTTTTCATTTCATGGGACTTAATCCCAGTACCAAGGCAAACTAGATGCGTAGGTGGTTTAACTCTAAATTGCCACCTAGGCAGTATCTAAAACTCTTTCTTCTTCCCCAGTTTTAATATTGTCCAGTGGCCCACAGTTCTGGAACAATCTCAAAGTGGTTAAAACACCATTACAATTATGAAAAGACAACATTTGAGGGGTATTTTGATTTGTGGAATAAACTTTCAGAGTCAGAAACTGAGTTGGTTTTATTTGTTCTAAATAAAGTTTTGTGCTTAACAGAACTAGCTTCTATAAATTAAGGGATCTTTGCATACAAGGTATTCCAAAATAGCCAAGACCTGTATTTTGTGTTCAGTAAAATCAAATGGTGTTAAGGGCCAAGGTGAAAATTCTCCATTACAAAATGGGAAAGCCACTACGTAACCCACCAGGGGACTAGCACCTACCTCTCCATTCGTGCCATCAAAGATAATTGCACTGAAGCTGGGACTCAACCTCTCCCCACTGACTTCATTTCTTTACACGTCCTTGCTCCTTACCCTTGTGACAGGTAAATCAGGCAGTGATCTCCCGTGTTCTCTGAGTCATGAGAAAAGGGACAGCAGCTGGTGGGGGGCGGAAGCCCAGAACGACTGCTCTGCACTGGAGCTTACTGCTCCGAGTGAGGGAAGCCTCATCCCTATTTTACAGATGAAACTGAGGCTCCGCAAGTTTAGCTACCTAGTTCAAGGTCGCCCAGCTAGTTAAGTGGTGAAGCCTTTTAGTCAAAATAGCATTGCAGCGGCTCTTGCGGTGGCTGATAGACCATCCACGTAAGGAAAAATGTAGATCTGAGTTTTTTGGGTAGGGAGGGGTATATTTAACATGAGGGCGTCTTCTATTTTCACACTCAGTAGTTCTAAACTTGGGGCACGCAGAAATGTTTGGAAGCATTTTGCTAGTCCAACGAAGGGGGTGGGTTGTGCTTCTGGCTTTTAGCACTCCGCAGGCCAGGGATGCTAAGACTCGCTGCAATGCTTAAGAAAGTTCTACACAACAAGATATCTACCCCAAGACAGTTTCCTGTCGACACTATAGGTGCTTCATTAGTTCATGAGGCAGAAGTGGTGAAATTACCGTAATTCCCTTTGGCATGAAGTCAGACGCAGAGATGCAGCGACTCATCAAAAGGGAGGTATAAAGGGTAGAGTGGCTAAAATGTGTACAGGAAATAGGCCACGCTGACCAGACTGGTCATTCTGGCCAGCCGGCGGTGCCAACATACTCAATAGCCCTATGAAAGCTCTTCATAAGGTCACAGAAGACAAGCCAGGCTCCACCACTCACTGATGGGGTAACCTTGAGCAAGTTACTTCTCTGAGCTTCAGCTCTATCAAAGGAGAATAATTCAGAAGATTGGGAGGATTAAATGAGGTGTCTGAACATGCCTGGCACAGTCTCTAGGCAGTAAGTTAGGTCCTTTAAGTGGTGGCTCTCATATTTATCTCACCGTTACTATGAAATGCTACATTTGGTTTACGCTCCTCAGCTGTTTCCTTACAATATTTCCAAAGCACAAATGTATATTCCACAAGGTAACTGTTTTGCCAAAGGCTTACGTGAAAATGTGCTCACCCAACTGCTACCTCTACATCTCTTGGAACAACCAAAAAAAAAAAAAAAAAAAAAAAAAAAAAAAAAAAAGTTTAATGGCACTAACAGTAAAATTCAAATTTGAAAAACGAAAAACCTTTGTTAACACACTATATCCAAATTGCATGCTAAAACACTAACGTTCACTATTAGTTCATGCATGCATACTACAAAAGTAGTAACAAAGAATTATTTTTCATGCCCAACTATGGAGGAAACTAGAGCCCATTAATACTTAAATAATAGTGAAATGCCAAGTGCCCAAGAGGGGGGTAGAGCTGGTAATTCAGAAGCTTAACAGGTACTCAAAAGATGCAACTATCTGGTTATAATTAAAATTAAATGAAACAGAATATTTAGCTATATCATCACACACTCACAGTTTGCCAAGGAGAATTAGACAAAGCCACTGTCAAGCTCTCTGGAACTGCAAATGAAAGTGTTTTCAACATTTAAGGAAAAGCCATCATAGAAGCCCTTCTCAAATGCCTTTCTTCTTCCCAATCCCTGTATTTTGTGAGAATGGACCGTGTCCTCCCAGTGCTCAGTGGCTGGACATCTGGGATGGACAGAGGTGAAGGTAACCACTGCAGGACCAAGGAGCACGAATGACAGAGTCCAGACACGCCTCACCGCTAGTCTGGCCCACAGTCCAACAGTCTCTACGAAAAACTATAAGGAGACTGGAACTGGAATAAGCCATATTTAATATCATCCGTTGTATCTCAAACCAAAAACAACAACAAAAAAGGGGGGGGGGGCTTCTATGGACCGATGGCTGCGATTCAGAAAATGCTTAACGATACAAAGTAAGTTTTTAAAGGACAGTTTTTATGACAGAATTTTACTCTGTAGCAAGTGTGTAATAAAAAAAAGAAAAAGGTTTATGTCCAGGAATGCCCACTAGGGTTTTTTCCAGTCACCTGGGCACACAGGGTGCATCCTCTAACCAACACAGAGGAGGTGGCACAACACAGACTTCACGTTTGCGTCCTACAAGTTTCACTGCATCTTGACACGATGGCCTAGCTTTGGGCTGACACGAAGGATGCCAAACTTCAGAGCAAAATGGAGGATATTTTCTGACAGGGCCAATGTTCAGTTCTGAGCTTCCTGTTGCAGTGAGCATCCCATTTGAACTCAACAGGAAGAGGTAAAATCTTCTTTGCTGCATTGCTCTGAGCACAGCTGTGGTCTACCTCTTCATCTCCCTTCTGAAGGTAGAGGAAAGGTTCCCACTGTCAGGCATCGGTTAACCAGTGTGTGGTTAGAAGTGCCTCTTAAGGCACTACGGGCCAGCCACCTTGCTCTGTGGGTCACATGTAGTCCTGAAGCATGTACCATGTAATGGAAAGCCAAGTTTCAAAATTAAAAATGGAGCCAGTCACAATCCTGAGTGCTGTGAAGGAGGCAACAAGGCATTCAAACAAAAGATTTAACAAAAACAATGTCTACGCAGTCCATGGCAGGGCTTGAAGATGAAAATTAAAATTTCAACTATGAAATGGGCTCATCAACACCCAGAGACTTGGCTGCCTACCTGGAGTGGAGGGAGGCCCGGAGATCCAATTCTTTAGAGGGTCTACACACGATAACTGGCAAAAAACGTGATAGGACAAAAAAAATCAATCCCTTTCTTTTGAAAATGGTTCTTAAGGGAGAGCTTGAGGTTAGAGTCCTTTTTCCACGGTCCTGCCTATTCAGCCATCCAGAGCTTGAAGGTCCTGTCATAAGAGCAAGTGGCTATGAGCTGCCCATCGGAAGAAATGTCTAGGCCCATCACTTTGCCTTCATGGCCAGCCAAAGTCTTCAGTGGGGACCAGCCTGGGTGTGTCCAGATCTTGGCTGTGTTGTCGTAAGCACCAGTGAGCAAGAAATTCCCATGGATAGCTTTAAGAGAAAAGGGGAGCTGCTTGAGGAATTCACATATCAAAAGAGCAAAGAAACTAAAAGCACAAAAATCTGCTAGAACACATGATTTTGAAAAAGAAGGGATTTCCCCATTTGGAAAAGTCCAACATTCTCATCTACATTCCTATAAGGCCTCCAGGAAAAAGGGACTACAAGCAGACTTAGGGAAACAAGTAACATTATTAAGTTCTTCTGGCTTTTTCCCTGACAATCTGTTCACAGTAATATTAAGGATTCAGTGCTTACAACTTTCATGGAAAAAAAAAAATGACTCAAACATTTATGAAAGTCTTCTTTACTTCCTGAAACAAGAAGCAAGCCGTGCCAGAGCTGTGTCTGAAAATACGCTACAGCGAAGGAAATTAGAATTTGGCCTTCTTCACCAGAGGCCAAATCCTCTCCTGTCACACTTCCGAGTGAAGCCAAAGCCTAGCCTGCATTCCGTGAAGTACAATCTGCCTGTCCTGTGAACGGGCAAACCGGGAGGAAAACTTACGCTCAAACTTGACACCGGTCACTAAGTTCTGATGGGCGGGGATGGTATAGACACAGCGCCGCTGTCGGAGGTCCCACACTTTGCAGGTGTTGTCACCGCTGCCGGTTGCAATGTGGTAGCTGTGGATCAGGTGTAGTATCGAAGTCAGAAACAAAGATACATTCTGACCAATAACCTTCCCACCCGTCATTCAATGAGTTTATTTTACCCATTGGGGGAGAAATTTATTCCATAGATTTCCTTCAGGTGGCCTTCTAGGAACATGATACACCGTCCTGTACGCAGGTCCCAAACACGACCAAATGCATCCAGTCCCCTGACAAAAGAATTTATAGATGAACACTCTGAATCCATTTCTCCGTGGAAGCAAGCATACGTAAGAGGTGAACCACTGAGCTGCCCCTGGCTATGTGGAAAAGGGCTTACCCAGTGCCAGCCAAAGAGCCATCCTGATGGAAGGCGATGTCATACACGCCCATGCTGTGGCCTTCCTGATGCAGGATCTCCTCTTGAGCCTCTAAATCCCATAAGCGCCATGAGCGGTCATAGCTACAAAAAAAATTAACTAGAAATTAACTAGCAGATATTCAGTTCCTACAATGTGTTATAAACACTTGTAGCTTAAATTATGCTTCTGAAACTACTTGTACAACCGTATTAACAAGAAATTCTTTTCTGGTATAAACAATACCTCAACAACTAAGCATATCTGTCTTGAGTGCTAACTGGGAAACCATGGACTTCCTAGTAACTTACTTCAGTGGCTATTTTAAGAATACAATTTCCTAAGAATGGCCCAGCAAAGGCTGTTGCCTTCTTTCTTTCTCAGTTCAACTGTTAAGTTTTTTTACTCACTGACTATTTGTTGGGCCTTCAACTGATGCTGGGGAGACAAAGAACAATAAGCAAATAGATCAATGCAACAGATGAGAAAGTATAGGAAGAGACCTACACATTTTTGGTCAAAGATATTCAAATGAGACCACTAAAACCATTTCAATAGGGAAAACAAAGTCTCTTTAATAAATGCAACTAGAGGGGCACCTGGATGGCTCAGCTGGTGGAGCACGTGACTCAGTCTCAGGGTCATGAGTTCAAGACCCACGTTGGGGTAGAAATTACTTAAACAAACGTAAAAAGCAAAAAACGAAAAACACCTTAAACAACAAAAACATGTTCGTATAAAGCACTATATGAGAATGTTCGTGACACCTTTATTCTGAGTGATCCAAACCTGGAGAAAGCCCAAATGTCCTTCAGTAAGACAAGGGATAAGTAAACTATGGCAGAGTCACACAACTGAATACTCCTCAGCAATAAAAAGAAACTTCTGGGGCAGCTGGATGGCTCAGTCGGTTAAGCATCTGACTTCAGCTCAGGTCATGATCTAGCAGTTTGTGGGTTCGAGCCCCACATTGGGCTCTGTGCTGGCAGCTCAGAGCCTGGAGCCTGCTTCAGATTCTGTGTCTCCCTCTCTCTGCCCGTCCCCTATTAATGCTGTCTCTGGTCTCTTTCAAAAATAAACAAACATTAAAAAAAAAATTAAAAAAAAAAAAAGGAAACATGCAACATAAATGAATCTTAAAAACATACTGACTAAAAGAAGCCAGCCACAAACGAATTCATAAAGTATGAACAGACAGAATTAATTTACAGCGATAGAAATCAGATCAGTGGTTGCTCTGGAAGGGGGAGTCCGTTGGGAAGGGACATGAAGGAACTTTCTAGGGTGATGGAAATATTCTATTAAAAGGAATGTGGGTTACATGAGTGCATGAAAATAAGTCCATTCTATTACATGTAAATTACATCTCAATTAAAAAGTTCTTTAACACATTCTGCCCTCAATGAACTTACAGAACCAGAAAAGGAAACCAATTTGCACTCTTTTAACAAAGATTTTATTTTTTTTTTGAAAAAATTTTTAATGTTTATTTTAGAGACAGAGAGTGCTTGTGTGCACAAGCCAGAGAGAGGCAGAGAGAGAGGGAGACACAGAATCCAAAGCAGGCTCCAGGCTCGGAGCTGCCAGCACAGAGCCCGACGCAGGGCTCACAAACTGTGACATCATGACCTGAGCTGAAGTCGGATGCTTAACCGACTAAGCCACCCAGACGGCTCTAAAGATTTTATTTTTAAGTAATCTTTGCACCCAACATGGGCCCTGAACTTATAAATCAGAGATCAAGAGTCACATGTTCTACTGCCTGAGCCAGCCAGGTACTCCAGAAAGGGAGACTGATTTGTAAGCAGAGAGATTACAATACAACGTGTGGCAGAAACAAAACAAAACATTGGTAAAGAGAATATGGGGCACCTAAATGGCTCAGCTGGTTGAGCGTCCAACTCGATTTTGGCTCAGGTCATGACGCCAGGGTCATGGGATTGGGCCCCACATCGGGCTCCACGATAAGCGTGGAGCCTGCTTTAGATTCTCTCTGCCCCTCCCTGACTCCCTTAAAAAAGAAAAAAAGTGAAAGTTCTAGTTTTCTGGCAATTAGTGACTGAAATTTCTGATTAACTGCAATTTAAAAGCAAATACACTTGGGGGCACCTGGGTGGCTCAGTTGGTTAAGCACCCAACTTCGGCTCAGGTCATGATCTTGAGGTTTATGGGTTTGAGCCCTATGTCAGGCTCTGTGCTGACAGCTCAGATCCTGAAGCCCACTTAGGGTTCGGGGTCTCTCTCTCTCTCTCTCTCTGCCCCTACCCTGCTCCTGCTATGTCTCTCTCTCTCTCTCTCTAAAATAAACAAACATTAAAAAAAAAAAACTAAAGAAAAAAATAAAAGCAAATACACTTGGCAATAACTTTATAACACTCTTTTCGGATTTTGAGTCACTGCAGTCCAAGAAAATCCTACTTGAAGATTTCTGTTCTTAAAATTTACTTGGCAGTTAGTCGTAAAGGTTAACAACATGCCATGGGCCTGTATGAACAGAACAGGATGGCTTACCAAGTGGTGCCCAAGAAACGTCCTGATGGATGCCACATTACACGGGCCACACGTACTGTATGCCCTTCAATATCTGCCACTGGTTCATCACTGAAAAAGAAACAAATACAAGTGAGTGAGCTATTTTATAGTCATAAATGTTCATTGAATTTGTTAACTGTTGTGACCGATGTACCCATTCTGTATGATTTAAGAGACCATGTAACTAAACTCATAGTTTATTAAAAATGCAGGGCTTTTTTTTTTTTTTTTTTTTTTTTTTTTTTTTTTTTTTTTTTTTAATTTAAGGAACAATTTATGTTACTTTCCCAAGTTTTAAAAGATTCGGGACTATTTCATGTGCTTACAAGGCAAAACTGCCCAAAGTATTTCGATAAACAACTATCTATCTTTCTATATCTCAATTCACTGTGATAATCAACTCTTTAATTTTTAAATGTTTATTTGTTTTTGAGAGAGAGACACAGTGAAAGAGGAGGGGCAGAGAGCCTGATGCGGGGCTCCAACTCACGAACTGTGAGATCGTGACCTGAGCTTAAGTCAGACGCCCAACCAACTGAGCGACCCAGGTGCCCCGATAATCAACTCTTAATGCTGTTCTCATTTACGATTAGAGAAAAATAAAAGATAATTCAGCCTGACAAGCAAAACAGTCTCCTTACACCAAAGGAGTGTTAAGATTCTAGAAAGAAAACATACTTTGATAGAGATATGAAGCTACAGAAATCAAACAGTTTTGGTGCAAGTGGATTACAGATAAATTTTCCTCAAACTTTAGCTTGTTGAAGGATCCACATGAAAAAAGGAACTCCTAAATAGACGCTTAGTTTCGTTTTGGTAACCATTAAATTCTCTTCCCCAGTAATCATAGAAAAAAAGTTCTGAAACACCAGTGAAAGGAAATAAACACAAACCCTAAGGAGGGCAATTAAAAAGGGAACTTTGTCAATGTGCATACATAGAGCTAATCAAAGCCCCAGGGGAACAAATATTGCTAAGTGATATGAAGCCAATTAAAACTTGCTCTGCTCAGAAGACAGACCCTATCTGGCAAAGGATGGAGAAACTAATTAGCCCTCTACAGAAACCTGGAATTAAAGTCTCATGTGCTTTCCCAAAGAAAAAAAAAAAAAAAACTAAGCAACTGAATTCAGATTTCTTTTAGCCAGCAAAGTGCTTTCAAGAATTTTTTGGAATACAACCATCATAAACATGTTAAAAACAACAACAACATCAACTGTTATAACGGGAGAATACAGGCTAGGCAAAGGAGGAAGCAGTTGGGAGGAGACATCAGTTCCTTGGCAAGACTGTCAGACAGAACTTCACTTTCCTCTCCCCTGTACCCATCTGCTAGGAACCAATGTGCTGCCAAGAATATTATCTTTAGTCAATCTACCAAATGGTGCATTTCTCCAATGTCAATGTATTGCATAGGAGGTGTAAATATATCTTTCCAGAATAACTGGAGTGGGAAAACAATGGCCACTATGTTAGAGGCAAAAATCGAGGTCCAAAGTTAACAAATAAGAAAAACCGGACCCAACTCCTTTGGTGGGAACAGGTCTAAGAAAGAAATCCTACATTCCACATTCACACCAAGCTCCCTGGACTCTCAAGATCATCTCTGGAGTTAAATGCCAGATTTTCAGGTCCCAAGGACCAATCAAGCAATTATTTACCTTAGTGACTGCAATATGGACAGAACAGTAATATTTACCTGTCAAGGCTCCAAAGCTTCACAGAACCATCAGCAGCACAAGACGCCAGATTGACATCTTTCTGGTCCAAGGAGACAGTGGATTTTGGATGGAATACAATTGCTCCTACGTTTGTGTTATGGCCTGAAGGGGTGTAAGAGATGAAAGTTAAAGGGTCCCCACTTGTTCTTTTTTTTTTTTTT